TTTATTCCGGCATAATATGAATGCTATGAGCGAGCGCTAGCTTCGGTAATATAATTATTAATTAATTCTTGATTATTAGTGATCGAATTAATTAATGGATATTATATCTTAAACATGGGGAGGTAAATCGGATAATTATAATAAGGAGTCTCGAATGTAATTTGGGATAGGTGAGGGGAGTGCAATAATATTATTGTGGTGGACTTTAATATTATTAATATATTAATTGTGGGGTTGCTCCACAGTATTAATATATTAGAAGTCCTTATCCTATTCTCCTTAGGGTCCCTACTGTAGCTCTATATATACAGCATTAGGCTCTTGGAAGAGAAGAGACAATCCCACATTCTTGGGAATCACGCCGCCCCCCTCTCTCTCTTTCTCTCTTCCAAGGAGTTCTTCTATTTCTTGTGTTCCACTGATACAAGATCTAAAAAGCTGTTTGAGAATACAGTAGAAGATCTTAAGGTATACAGAGATTCCAATCATACATCCAAACCGGAGACCAAAACCAGCAAGTGACCATACCACGACGACCAGGACGACGAGACGAAGAGATCGCCGTCGAGATCGCCGCCGGACTCCGCCGCACGCGCCGCCACGCGCCGCCGCAAGGAAGCAGTCGCTGGAGTTTGTCGTCGCGCGTGAGAGCGCGTGAGAAGTCCGATTTCTGATCGGTCAACGCCGTTGACTTCGCCGTGACGTCAACTTTCTGGATTGGTCAAGTTTGTTCAATTCCGAGAATATTTGATTTGCGGTCAACTATTTGGGCCAGCCAGATCTACATAAATTTTAAGCAGTAAGTTTTCTTCATCAAACCTTTAGATCCGCTGCGCATAGGTTTATGTTGAATGTTTGTCCGTGATTTGTGCATATCGAGATCATCATGGGTTCCAACATTCAGATCCACCACAGCAAGTAGGTGGACAACTGGATTCTTTGTTCTGCAACCTTAGTCTTCTTCATTGATGAGATCCACCACCATCAATCTTTAAAGCTATGAGCATCCTTCATGGAGTCTCCCCAATCCACAGGAGCAAGTTTCCATATCAATTTAGCTCTACTGCATTGGAAAAAGATATGTTCAGTTGTGTCAGGGGCTTCTCCACAACATTGACATATGTTATCCAGTGTTAGGCCTCTTTTGAATAAAGTTAACACCTGTGGGCCAAGAATTAGAAAAGCATTTCCACAACAGGTTTTTAATTTTTCCTTTAACATTAAGCTTCCAACACCTCTCTCTAGCAGCTTTGTCTCTTTTAGCAGCATTACTACTCTCAGCCCTTTCAAAATTCAACAGCTTATTAATCATTAACTGAGCATATGCATTAGCCACTGTGAACTGTCCTTGCCCTTTCCCTGTCCAACACCATCTATCTCTCTTCCCTGGATTCAAAGATGCAATCTGCAAGATAGCTTTTCCTTCACTTTCTCCAAAAATATTCAACACCACTTCATAGTTCCAGCTCCTGCCATCGGGTCTCAGCAATTCTGCCACCCATGTAAGAGAATTAGCATTTTGTGATCTTCTAGCTGGCATTCCTATAGGCAAGTCTGGAATCCATGGGTCAGACCATATTCTGGTGCTCTTCCCATCAGCTATCTCCCTTCTAAAATAATGTTGGTAATTCTGTTTCACCTTCATCCAGCTATTCCACATCGATGAAGAGCTTGAAGCTTTTTTGGCCGGAAATAAACTACCTTTAAGAAAATATCTCTGTTTAAGAATTTTAGCCACCAACAGGTTTGGTTTAGAGCTATTCTCCATATCTGCTTTCAAATCAATGTATCATTGAACAGATTATGTCTTGAAATCCTAGACCCCCCCCGGTGTTTAGGAGTTGTCATCTTGGCCTATTCTTTCCAATGAATCCCAAATTTGTGTTGATCTCCTGAGCTCCACCAAAACCTTGCACATAGTTGAGAAATTTCCTTGCACAAACTCTTAGGAAGGCAGAAGCATGACATAACAAAAACCGGCATGGCATTTAAAACAGATTTTACCAGCACTTCTTTCCCATGGATAAGTACTTGTTCTTCCAGTTGCTGATTTTGCCTTTGACAGCCTCAAGAACATACTGAAATGCCTCCCTTTCAGATCTTCCAATCCCACATGGCATGCCAAGATATCGAGTGGATCTGTGCACAGACACACCTTGCATAATCTGACAAATATCCTGCTGCAGCTCCAAAAGTGTATTCTTGCTGAAAGAAACAGAAGACTTATCCAAATTTACTTTTTGCCCTGTAAACAGTTGGTCCTCTGCAAAATTTGTATCAAACATAAAGCTTGTTCACTACTAGCCTCACAAAAGACCAGTAAATCATCAGCAAACAACAAATGTGTCAAGACAGTACCAGATCTAGTCATTTGCGGCCCCTTAAAGTTCCCCAACCTGGCTTCATTGTCAATCAGTCTGGACAAGATCTCTGACACAATTATAAATAGATAGTCCCCTGTCTTATGCCTCTTGAAGGAGTGAGATAGCCACAGACATCCCCATTTATGTTGAAGGAATAAGAAGCAGTAGAGATACAAGCAAATATCCATTGCACAAAAACAGAATCAAACCCCATTTGCAGCAATACCTTAACAATGTAGTTCCATTCTATTATGTCATAAGCCTTCATCATATCCAACTATACAACTATATAAAATTTGTTACCAGACCTATGCCTATTCAAGTAATGCATCACTTCCTGGGCCACAATAACATTGTCAAGTAGTTGCCTGCCAGGCACAAATGTAGCCTGGCTATCACTGATAAAATTTCCCAGAACACCTTTCAGTCTAATGGAGATAATTTTAGACACTATCTTGTAAGCCACACCACATAGACTGATAGGTCTATAATCACTAACAGAAACTGGATTAGCACATTTAGGAATCAAAGTAACAAGAGTGTGATTCCAATTCCTTAGTAATCTACCAGAGTTAAAGAAACTAGTAACAGCAGAGCACAGATCAGGTTTAACAATTTCCCATAAATGTTGGAAGAAAATGGAAGACATACCATCATTGCCTGGTGCTTTGTCTAGGTTAAGACTGAATAAGGCCTTTTTAGTGTCTTCTTCCTCGACTCTTGTCACCAACACCTCATTATCTTCTGGTGAAATAGAACTATGAATGAGAGGCAAGATGTGTCTACCCCCCCCCCCC